ATCAATCAATCAATCAATCAATCAATCAATCAATCAATCAATCAATCCATCCATCCATCCATCCATCCATCCATCCATCCATCCATCCATCGTTCTCTTGAATCCATCATTAAATAATAGAAGGAATGTAGGACATGTGTAAATCTACAAAGAGCAGGTTGTCCTGCCCAGTCAAAAAAGAATCATGTTTTGACAGTAATGTTCTTGAGGTGTTTCCATTTAACAGTGAACAAACATCATCACTTAAACTGAAACTGATTAAACGTCATTCATATTAGTTTCTTTGTATGAGCACATTGCTAAATAAACCTCAAGTTGTTCATTGCTGAGCTCAACTTACTTCACAAACATACACGCAGGCTTGTGAAGAAATCTCTATTAGGACACTGGACTAACTAGCAAACAAACATCTCATCATAACCAATTAATACTGTATATATCCCTCTCTCACTTCACACCTAACCCCCCACCCCCACACGCCTTACTGAGCCTGAATTTTTATAATGTCTCACCTATGCAGGTTATCAGAGCCCATGTCAGCACTCTAAATAAGCTTTAAGGTGTACGAAGTGGATGTAAGTTCAGAAAGAGTTGAATTAGCAGAGTGAATAAATCAAAATCAGTCAGGAGGAGAAGAGAGACTCACTTTGCTTTGCTTCATGTCCAGGTAGAACTGATGCTGACTTATGGCCATCGCCCAGATGGTTTTAATCAGAGAGTGGCTGGCATACCATGAGTGAATAACCAAACCAGCCTGTCCAAATGTTCGCTTAGTCACCGTTCTCCTGCAGATGATAAAACAGATCAGTGGTTGAGTTTTTCTAAAAATAATTAAAAGAATCTCATTTTATTTTATGGTGGTAAAAATGCTGTTAGTAAATACAAAAGACCATGAGGGTCTTTGTGTAATTCCTGAGGAGAAGACAGAGGGCAACTTGAAAAGGTGTGTGGTTTAATAACTGTAGCTTCTGAAAGTTTCACATTAAGACGCGTGAAAGGAGCACAGGTTCTCCAACAAGCCCAGACTGATAAGGTGGCTTTGAACAGCAGGAAAACGCTCATTTAACAGGCAGGTTCAAGTCATTAACAGGGAGGTCTAAATGAGCCATCAGCTGCACTTCACAGTGTCATGACACCTAAAACAAGGGGCAGAAACTAAAATAGGAACATATGATTGAGCATACTTTTCCTTTTTAAAATAGGAACACTTCAAAGTAGAAGGAAAGCATTAACTAAGATCAGTTTAGATAAATCAAATGGTTTATCTGCTGACCTGTGAGGGTCATTCACTTCCACTGCAAATTTCTTCTCACGGAAGTACAAATTCTCCAACTGCTTCCACTGAAACAACTGTGGAAGAGACAGAGATGGTTAGTCAGCAAGAAGGTGGGGCGGTTCAGAAGACATTGCTACACAACTGAATACGCAAATCAACAAGAGTATTGGCTGAGAAATCGGTTCGTAGAAGATCAACACAAGTCATTTGATACACACAAGCTGTTGAACAAATATAAATATGCTCTCACATGAGCGGAAATAAATGCCTCAAAGACAGCAAAGCAATGAGGCACATTAAGGTAAATAGTTGCATTAGCTGCCACTGTGGCATCTTTACAGGACATACAATACAACAGTAGACGGCATGAATGAACAGAACTCGGTGGGTCAGCTAATCATGAGCTACCAAAGGAGCATTTATAATTCTGCTGCAACTGCAGGGAGCACAACGGTGCCAGGCAGCAAGCCAGGCTCTCGTTTCATTCTGCTGCGGAGGAGGAGGGCAGAGACTAAACTTTTCTGTGTCAGAATGAAACATCTGCTCCACTCATGCTGCACTAGCTGAACAGACCCTGAGGTTCTTGGCAGCGAGCAACCCTTCCTATTCTCATAAAAAAAGATAAGACGGAGGCACTGAAATCAAAAGTTCCACACAATTTACTTGAAACCAACCAAGAAATGAGAACTTTAATGTTTTCATAGAATTCGAGAGGATCAGACAACACATTACACACAAAAATTAACCAATGGCACAATATCACTGTAAACTTTATAAACCGAGGCGAATTCAAACTTAACAAACCAACTATAACTTTGTAAATCTTTCTTTACAGCACAGATTACACGTATCACAGAAAACGCTCTGAGCCTATTGAGGAGCGCACAAGATAACTAAAACATTAAAGTAGTAAACCATTGAAACCAGCTGCACAGACAACTTGTGTACACAACTCTTACCGTACGGAGTATTTTTTTCTGAGTGTATCTCTGAGGAATTCTCCTGGTTTGTATTGAATCCTTTGACTATGACTTTCCCACAGGGGTAGAGCTTCCAAGAACAATACTCTCTCCTGTCTGTTCTCAGGGAGTCAGATAGGTGTAAGAGTTTCAGCTGAGGTGACCCCACCTCCAACCCCTCCTCATTCTCCTCCTCCTCCAACGTCACGGACGCCTGACACTGCCTTCACTGCTCCACACCACTATCTTTTACTCCCTCTCTCTTTGGTCAGACCAGATAAGCAGGTTGTTTGCAGGTATTTAATGAGTTTCTTTCCTTGTTTGTGGAGATTTAACCTCAGCTCTGCTTCACGTCATTAAACTTCTAATCCCTATAAACTGTTTTTTGTCATTCTAAATGCCACACAGAGCATTGTTTTTGTAAGCTCAATCATCCAGGTAGATAAAAAAAAAGGTTTAATCGCACACAGAGCATTGTGTTTTTACTCAAGTCTACAACAGTCGCCCTCTTCCCCCCACCAAACAAACAAGTCACATATTACACATATTATAGTGCTTTAATCATTAATAGAAGGAGCTTTCTTTGGCATTAGGAGAGAATAACTGAGCACATGCTAAGATGAACTTTTATACACTTCAACTAGAAAAATCATTTTGTTTTTATTATAAAAGATAGTTGAATGTTTAGTATCGCAGCATTGCGGCTCGTTGCACAAGCTGTTGCAGTCAGAACAGCACTTCTCAATCAGGCTGTTAGGAAAACAGAACATTAATAAACCACGGGCATCAGGCTGCAGGATGCATCTAAAACCCTAATCTCATCAGCTATGCTTACATGTGCAAAATTCTTTGACCGGACTGAAATGTTTTCAGATTAAATAATTTGAATGCATCGTTTAGATGGGCACAATCTGCTCACGATGAGCGTTTACATGCAGCGGGCTTTGTTCTGAACAGCAGTACTGACATGTGCAGAGTAGTAAACTCTTCTTAAAAAAACCCAGAAGAAGTTCTACTTCCGGTTTACTTTTGGGATGAACGTAAAGAAACCTGAGCACCCAAAATGGACCCACGACAGGTTTTAATAACGGTGGAGATGTTACGGCACTCCCTGACCGAGCTACAGGTAATACAGATCATTTTGAGCTCTTTCAAAGTTTCTAGTAGAAATGTTGTGTCGCTCACCGACCAGTTTTACTTCCCCGACATGCTAAGAGTGTTAGCATCTAGCCAGGCGGAAACACATGAGGTAGACATATGTCACACATGCACAGTCAGGTAAGTTTTCCACAATCAGAAAAAAATGAACAGATTAAATGTTTACATGCGCACCATTCAGATTATGAATCGGCATAAACCACCCGTCTCATTAGCAACGTTTACATGGACATAAGTAACCGGATCAAACGGCTGTTCGGAATAAAAACGCATCATGTAAACACACTGTTCGGGTTATTTTTTGTTTATTCAGCGTGATCCGAAATAATTTGTGATCAGAATGAAACGGGTGGTTTACGCCGATTCATAACCCGAACGGTGCGCATGTAAATGCTTGATCTGTTAGTTTTTATCTGATGGTGAAAAACTGACCTGACTGTGCATGTGCGACTTTGCCATTTCCACCTGGCTAAATGCTAATAATATTAGCATGTCGGGGAAGAAAAACTGGTCGGTGAGCGACACAACATTTCTAATAGAAACTTTGAAAGAGCTCAAAATGATCTGTATTACCTGTAGCTCAGTCAGGGAGTGCAGTAACGTCTCCACCATCATTAAAACATGTTGCGGATCCTTTTTGGGCGCTCAGATTTGTTTACGTTCATCCCGGAAGTAAACCGGAAGTAGAATTTCTTCTTCAGTGTTTTTTTTTAAAGGAGAGTTTACCACTCTGCGCATGTCAGTACTGCTGTTCGGAACAAAGCCCGCTGCATGTAAACACTTGTCATGAACAGATTGTGCCTATGTAAACAATACATTTGAATTATTTAATCTGTAAACATTTCAATCCGGTCAAAAAATGTTGTGCATGTAAACATAGCTAGTCTGATTACAGATTCTTTCGGATCGAGCTGAATCAACAAAGAATAATCTGAATGGGGCGTTTACATGACGCATTTTTATTCCGAATGGTAGTTTAATCTGATTAGTTATGTCCATGTAAACATAGGTATTGTGAAAAAAGTCTCACACCAATTCACACCTGCCTCTTAGGCCCTATTTACACGGACACGATGGGGGGAAACGTAGGTTTTTTCGTTTGTTATTTAGAGGAAAAGATCCGCGTTGACACGGTCGTATTTTGGGTTTACATGCATCCGCAAGATTCCCCCCCGCCCTCCCGAATCCGCTCTAGTTACCATGCCGGGTCATTAGATGGCACTGTGAATTTTGTACCTTCACCTAATGCGCATGCGTGCTGCCTCAGCACGCTGTGTCCTGTGAGCTAAAAAGCTCTGCTAGCAACATCTTAACAACAAGTTAAAGCTGGATTCTGGCTGGATTTTGGATAAAAGAGTCGACAGATTTGACGCCAAGCGGGACCACTTTGTCTAACAGCTCCACACAAGTCTCTGAGTGGACCAGAACCGAGTCACAATGTTGGACTTTACTCCATGATAATCAGTAGCTGGTTTACAGCAGGTAAATCAAATGTTCTTAATAATGTTAGCTTGTGTTTACTTTGGTTACAAAACAACAACTGAGTTTTTATTTTTATTTTTTCCTGAAAGAAGAAGGAGCTGTCACCCACCAGGCGGACCGGTTCTGAACGAGGCTCGGCAGCAGGACGTCGAAGAGAGAGATGATGGATGAACTATTTATTTAAAATTCCCCTCAGTTCTTTTATTCAATCCATTCAATGTTCAGTTTAATTATCAGTTTGTGGTGTTGAATAAATAAATAAAATAAAAATTAAACCCGATGTCTTCATTTTCAACGTTAATAGCATGCAATATGTTTAGCATCATTGTAATCACATAATTTGAATTACGTAATGTCCCGATAGCTTCATTTAGCTCAGAGAGCTTCATTACATATCTCAAACTTAAGATAAATACTGTTTATTATTGTTAAACTTATTATTTAGCACATTTATGTTATAGTGTTATAGTGCAGCGCGACTTGTGCGCGTGCCTTGTTCTATAAACAGCGATATTAGAACTGGATCCGACTGTGTCTCTTCCAACACAGATGTCGGTCACAGCACCTGGAATCTGAACTAGATGAACTACGAGATTAAAAATATAATCATCAGTTGTAGTTCAGAAAGCACTGTATCCGCCGCCATGTTGATAGAAATATAGCGTCTGTCCATGTGTGCGTATGTGGTTTAACACAAAGCCTCAGCGAGAGATGTTTACATTATCAGCAGGGGGTCAGCTAAAAACCTCCACTCTGGAAGGTGGATTCAGAAACCTTCGGATTCAAAGAGGGGGGCACACTGGTGTTGTGTAAATGATCAGCAGAACCGCAGAGAGAAAGCTGCGGATGCACTCAAAATACGCGCCGTGTAAATGGCCCCTTACTATCACTTTGCATCATTTACATAGTATTAATAAATTAAACAGGCCCAACAACGAGCACTTTATTGGCTCATCCTCATTAGAGAAACTCCACTCCTATGTGGCAGCAAACAGTTGAAACTAATACAGTTCTGCGCCTGCTTGACAAGCTACTGCTGAAATATGTGAGTGATGTGACACACCTTAAAACTCAACAGTTGCAAGACTACAAGCTGTCTTCTTGAAAAGGAATCTATCCAAGTAATCCTTCAATGACTCATGAACACAATTCCCAGTTAAAAACTAAAATCCTAATTTTCATAAAACAGATAAAACAACAGCATACTAAGTCTACATGTCATTTCTATTTACACTGCTCTTGTTTTTGCCAAACAGTGAATTACAGAAGCGTGGAAGTTTGCCACAAATGCTTGTGGTTTCAGATGGGATCAGTCTGTTCAGATCCAGCTCACACCCACAACTCAAAGACCCCCAAGGAAAATAAATCATATATGGATGATTGATTTGTGAGTTAAAAAAAAGTCTAAAAGGCTCTGACTCACTTGCCAGTGTAACAAAAAACTGCCTCACCCTTCACATAGCACGACACCAGCT